GTGTGCGCGGGCTGCGGGCGCTGCTCCCCGGGCCGCGGGGACGGAGCGGTTGCAACGGGACGCAAGGGGCGGCCAGGCCCTTGCTTCCAACGATCTTGAGGTGCGGAGCTGCAGTCCCTTCGCTTTTTGTCCTTTTCAATTTTATATATATATATATGTATATGTGTGTGTGTGTGTGTGTGTGTATATATCTTGCCCACCACTCGCAGGGAAGATGTTTTTCTTCCCCCTCCTTTCCGCTCCCGGTTTTTCCTCTACATTTAAAGGAGAATTGCCTTTTTTTTTTTTTTAAACACGGCTTTTAAATGTTGTTGCAGGGAGAAAGGAGAACTCATTTCAGAGCATTCTCAAGTACTTAAAAACAATATTGTCTCCATATGGTTGGCTTTTCAAAAACGAATCCCCGTCTTTGAAACATGCAAGAGAGATTTTTTTTTAAAGCTACTAAAACTCTAAACTGATAAGAACAAAAAAAGCCTAACAGATAATTCAATTGCTTTTATCGTATTTTGATGTTTTGAAACTTTTACCATTCCTGATAGAGTAAAGAACTTGTAAAACTACATTAAAATGAGGGTCTTCAAAACTCACTGATGTTACTTGCATTAGTTGTAAGCTTAAAAATACAGCGTGGGGCTTATTTTCTCGGTTAGTGCAGTTTTACTCTGACGTTATGGCTCAGTTCACTTCAGCCCCAAGTGCAAACCACGTTCACGTTACCTTGCACAACATCTCGACTGACCGATTTATTTACACTTTTTTAAAAAAATCATAATCTCGTCCATCCAACGCTGCTTTACGTGCAACTTGCAACTCTCTGCGGGAAGGGATGGTGGGGGGGACCGCTTTTCTTGCAGGAAGGTCGCGCTTCGCGGGGGTGCAAGTCGCCAGCGAGAAGTTTAATTTTCTTTGAAAATGAGGTTATATAATGTGCATCACGTGTCACCCGCATTTGCCTGTTTGAAACCGGGAGGTGAAAGTTCCCACCTCCCTCGGAGGAATGGGGATGTTTTAAGCCACCTCGGCTGCAGCGAGCCCGGTCTCTGCCCGCGGCTCCGGCAGCGGTCAAAGCTCAGGGAAGGCCGTGCCATCCGCCCTGGACGCTGCGCTTAGAAAAGTCAGTTGTGTGATGAGTTGCTCGGTCCACGACCAGGCTGCCCACCTCCTCCCCGTCCTGCCAGACAGACCTAGCTCACGGCTTCCCGGGGGGGCAGCCGAAATATGCTGTTTACCTTTTGCAAAAGATACATTTAATAATACTTCCTCCCCTCTCCCCTCCCCCACCCCAAATCCTATCATCCCTTGCGGGCCGCGATAATAAATAAAAGTCTTTATTTCTCCCTCACCAAAAGTTAAAGGGCCTTGTTCCCTCCCCAGGCAGCTGGAAGTGAGTTGCGGGCAGAGGGGGTTTGTCGGACGGGCTGCCGCAGCAGCCGCATCCAGCGCTCCTTCTCTCTCTGTGCATGTGCATATATATTTTATTAAACGTCAGCTTTGACTTATGTGTCTCTTATCTCTGCTCTCTCCCCGATGTGTGCCTGCAGCGGGGGATTCGGCGAAGGAAGCTCGTAACATGGCGGATACGGAGGAAGGCTTTGGGCTCCCAACCACGCCGGCTGACTCCGAGTCCAAAGAGCTGCAGGCTGAAACCAAGCAGGACACTCAACTGGGGGCCACCAGCAAGTCGCCCACCTCTCCCCAGGCAGCCTTCACCCAGCAGGTAAGGACCTGGGCACAGATGCGCTCCTCTTTCTCTCCCTCTCGCTCTTTTTTTCCCTTCTCCGGGTTTTCCCCCCCCAATATCTGCTCAGCTGTGTCTCTGTTCCTGCTATGGGTAGAGATGAGTCATTTTAGGCCCCACGGGACTGAAAACTTACCTGATTGTGGAAGCTGTAGTCCTGTTCCTGCTTTGATATTGTGTGTGGCGGTGTTCGCTCCTAAAAGCGCTGGAAAACGTTATATACGCGTGTATCCTGGGCTGCGTGGAAATGCACGCGCTCAAAATAGCGGAGATAGGCGCACGTTTACCCAGCGAGAGGCACCCACACGTACAAGCGCGGCCGTCCACGCTGCCGTGCGCAGACGCGCGCACACACACAACCGCGTTCGCGTACGCCTATGTACCTTCACCTTTACAACAACGCCCGCGCGTGTCTGTGTGACCCATAATCACGCCATCCGCACAGGCGTACGCATGCACATACAAATATTTGGAAAGCCGCTCGCACATACACCCCGCACAGCTCTGCCCGCACACGCGGATGGGCCCCACGGTAACTGCGTGCCGGCGTCACGCGTGGGCACCCCTGCACAGGCCCGGGCCCACTGGCAGCCA